CTTGGCAATATTTTTTTTTTACAAAGATAATAACTTAAAAACTATACGGTGGTGGTATAGCATAATGCCCGTGGGCCAACTTGTCGATTCTATTGTCGAGCGTGTAGCGCTTATCATTGAAACGGTTAAGCGCCAAATTGGTTGTACGTAAAATGCGCACCACGTGCTCAAACGAACGGATTGACACGTTCTGTCGGTACGGTGTGTAGGGTAACGACAATGTCGGTGGAGAATCACTACCACGTATCACTCCGATGACCACACGGGCATTCTCTCCAGCCATGCTCATTTTGACTCATCATCACCATCACCATTGTCTTTGAACAAACACCGTTTATAATCGTCCAAAGACAGATGGTTCCGGACGATGTGTCCGCGGATCCTCTTAGACTTTATGAGTTCGCTGCCTTCCATGTCAAATGCGTAGCACTTTGATCGAAGTGCAGCAATCTCAAAAAGAGTGAGGCCACTGGTCTCGTCTGAAAACAAGCCGGGATTCTTCTTTCTATCGGTGGAGTAGCAAAGGTGATCCTTGAGCAGGCTAGATGCGCCCACGTGCACCAGTAAGTCGGGGCTATCAGCTAAATCCTGGTAGAAGTCGCCTATTCTGAGCAGGTATATGAAGGAGTCTGAGAAAAATTTAAAAATATATAAATATTATAAAAAATATTTCTACTAAATAATTTCTAAATTTTAAAATATTTCTATTTTGTACGGTTGAACTCACCAGTAAACCAATTCGATTGCACAGCCATAATGTGGTTTCAATACGTCGTAGAAGTACTTGTACATTAGCGTCTTGCTAATGTCAAGCACTGCTAAACCGACGTATATTGGTTTGATAAACTTGACCATCTTTGTGTCCATTATGATGGCGCATAACCTTTCACCGTATTTGATACAGTCGTTGAAGGTTGGTTGGTTTACGAGCTTGCTCAGACGGTTGAGACTGGAGATTAGCTCAATGTGGATGCGTTTTCGCATGTTCTCCATTGTTTTCCCTATAAAATGTAAAAAATTATCGAATAACCCACTTTAGCATTGAGCATGCACTTACCAAAGACCGCATTATTCATTAGTTTGAAAAATGCTATTTCAAAATCATTTGCCACTATTTTTCCGCATTTCAGTGTTCAACTCAATGTATTGTATTCAACCAAGCACTTTGTTGAAACTCTAAAACGCGGTGCACCTGCACTACAAATATTTATATTAGTATCATCGCTTATAGTTTATAGGTTATTTATACATATTTTATCGACTTGCAGTCCGTGTGCGATTGCCTGTTTTATGTTGATATAGTGTACGACGTACCGCTGTTTGGGTTTCAAAGTGGCCATGAGTTTGGTCTCTTTGGAACCCAGCGGTACTTCGTTGACAGGCAAGAACGGCAAGTCGTTGTGCTCGTCATGCAGCTCTTGTGGATACGATACATCCACTTCATATATACGCCCCGTATTACCAGTGTCCGACAACGATTGGAGATAAACCAGAGGGTCTGCTCCTTTATACCACCGGAAGCCACCGTACGGCATGGGCTGACTCATAGCCCACCCGTAAAGGTTATTGCCTGTATACATTAAACATTTTTAAATCACCGTTCAATTATTGCGCGTTTTTATATACGTATAGATTACTTACAGTCTTGGTACACGATCCATGAGTCTGGTTTTGATGGATCGTAATCGGGTGTCTTTAGATTGTTGGCCTTGGCATAATGCTTGACGGCCTGCACTAACGCACCACGAATACCCTGTTCTACCATCAGTAGCATGTCGTGATCGTTCAAGAGCTTCAGCTTCATTCTGGTGTACTTCAACATACAATCGAAGCTAAAATCAGGCGCGGTATAATAGTGCGCCGGATCCAAATTGTATATTGAAGTATAGATGTCGCGGAAGTTCTCAAACACATCAGCCTACAACAACACGTCGATCTTAAGATATAGGTCGCTGTACTCACCGAGGGTCGAAACGGTTCCAAACCTCCATGGCATGTCAATAGTCGTCGTCATCAATATTAGACTCACTCAACTGACTATAGAAAGCGTCCTGAAGTGGTAGTTACATTTCGTCCAATTCAAAAAAAAAAAAAAACATCGTCCGATGTTGTGCACAGTCCTGATGTATGCACCCATACGATCGTCTGTTTTCTCCAGTAAAGCCTCAAAATCGGAGTAGATAACGAACGGTAACCGTTGCGTCTTTAACCATTCGTCAAATTCGACCTTACTACCCTCTGCCGGCATAACAGGTAAAATAGGCTTATTCTTACCGCATATCAACTTGTGTTGCTCCAACGCTTGTTGACCCCGAAGAATATGCTTTTTAGACTGATCATCAAAGCTGGTGAAGCAACATTTGCAAGTGTGTATGCGACCTAGGCGTTTGGTTTTTTGGCTGCGTACAAGCCTCGAAAAATCGAAAATGTACGCGTAATGATATTTGTGCAGAGTCACCAATGTACAACAGGTCAAAATGATTCTGTTGCTCTTGGTCGGCGACACTTAGAAAATACACTAACCACTTCATCTTAACGTCATCTTGTTTCAAGCCGTACACACTTAAGGTATCGTCGCTCAAATATTTTAATTTGGGACATGAGTGTGGGGAACGTCAACTTCGTGAAATCATACCTGTGTATGTTCGGTAAACCAGCACAGTGTCCCAACTACTTTTATAAACAGTCTACTACATACCATGCATAGTACAACCTACTACAATTATTATAGCGTATACTAAATTTACTGTATATATTTAATGTGAAAAACTCTTCTTTGTACTGCTTAATACTACAGACTTATATTTAATATTCATTATACACAAAGACATATAGTGAAATAAATACGACAAAATTGTATAAAATAAAAATATTATATTTTATTGAATTTTAAATCTTACAAGTTTTATTTATTTTATATAAACAAAATTAATAAACAAAGAAAAATATTAACAAATTACTGAAAATCAAACAAATATGCATTTCCACTTTTGCCTCTATATAATTTGTTGTCATCATTGTTGATATTGTAAGCTTCGATTTCTTCATTAGTTAATTTTAATCTCGCGATAAACACATTCATATTGTTGAATAGACAACCAACAAAGACAACCCCATTTCGTGTGCTTGTATTTTTCATAGATATGACTTTGTATGGCGTGTGTTCCTCCAGATCACTTAATTTTGAATATTTTTTTAATGTACTCTGATCGTTCAACTGTTTCTTTAATTCCTTCATTTTAAAATAAAAAATTAATAAAGTTTTAAACAACTCTAAACATAAACTAGTAACCAAAGTCAGTTGAAAACAGTTTAATAGAAAAAAATATATAAATGTATTACTTACTTTATTTTATATCAAAAGTCATAGAAATTCTTCAGAACAACTAATAGAAATAATCAGACAAATGGTTTTTGTATATAATCGCTTTAAAAAAGATAGTGAGTGAATGAGTCTGAAATTGATGTGACGTTCTTTTATAAGGGCCGAAGATCTTGTTTAGACAAGTATGGGTTGGTTTAAACAGGTTCAGATACTACATAAACGATGTTGGAAATATGCTTACCAAAGCGTCTGACACCTGATGATAAGATTCATACGACAATAATAAAAAAAAATTATTTATTTATTGGAACAAAATAAATAAAAATAGTAGGGGTGGTAAAATTAAATAGATATTAAAATGTTAATAATTTTAAAAATCTACATACCTGATACAGAAGACGTTTGTTGGTTCATAATTTTTTATTCGCGTGTGTAAAATATTAAAATAATAAATTTATACTTTTCGAATAATCAAGGGTCATAATATAGTAATACCTTTGATGTTTGAAATATGCTTACCTAAGCGTCTGGTTACTCATGATAAAATTCTTAGAAATTATAATACCATAACGACAGACGTTTTCTTTGTTCTTATGAAATGTAGACACTAATTAGCGTTATAGTATGGCGGTACCTTTGATGTTTGAAATATTCTTACTNTAGTGAGTGAATGAGTCTGAAATTGATGTGACGTTCTTTTATAAGGGCCGAAGATCTTGTTTAGACAAGTATGGGTTGGTTTAAACAGGTTCAGATACTACATAAACGATGTTGGAAATATGCTTACCAAAGCGTCTGACACCTGATGATAAGATTCATACGACATTAATCATGATCAAAATTTTAATTCTGATTTTTATATTCGATTTTCATATAGATTTTTATTATTTATATAACGGACCATCCATAAATTATTGTATTCTTACATGGTATAAAAATTCTAAATTCTTTTAAAATACTGGTTGTATATTTATTGTTAGAAAGACAATTTCTTAGTAAAATAATTTTTTTTTACTTGTAAAATTGTTAATACAATGTTTTCATTTAAATAAATTAAGTGGATAAAATTTTAATGTGGTCAAATTGTATAAGAACAGTTTTTATTTGCTTAAATAGATCAAGACGTAGAAAAAATTGTTTTTGGTATAAAAAAATCAAATTAAATATTTTTAATCACATGAGTCTTAGTTCAATAATCACCTGTAATAGTACTTATATTTAAATTTTGTTTATTTTGTATAAAGAAATAGCTTACAAAAGACTAGTGGTTTGATTCTTAAAATAAATTAATGGATTTTTAATTTTTTGTGATATTTATATATATTATTGTCTTGTTTTTAGACGATAAAAATTAATTAATTTAAATACGTTAAGTGGATTAAATATAAGATACATTGTAGGTATATATAAGAAACATGTACACAATGTAAGCAATATATGTAGTGAATCTAATAGTATTCTGAGCAGAATCTGTACACTTTTCTAAATTGCGCCTTTAATAAAAAATAACGAATAAGTTGTAAATATAACAAGAAAAATAATAGATTCTCAAAGTTATTGAGCTTAGTTAAATTTTTACGATGATTAGATTGTACAAATATGAACATTAAATATTTAAATAAATATAATTTATTTTCTAAGTATATTAAAATAAATTATATAAAATAGTAAAACATATTTACAAAATTAAATGTGTTACATTTACAAAAGAGACAAATTACAGAATATCATAAAAAATTTATAAGTTCACTTCAAAATAATTCTAAAGAGATATAATGTTTTCAAAATGTATGATTCTTTTGTGCGTGAGTAATTTGATTAAGCTGATATTGTCAAATGAGGTAACTACTAAAGTTTATTATTTTGAATAATAATTTATCAAATAAAAGGACGTTTTTTATAAATTAATAAAAAATTATTATTAGAAGTAATAATAAGATAGGTGGGCTTAATTTTGAAAGAATTTCCAAAAATTTAAGACATTATAGCAATATTTTATTATATAATAGAACAAAGAAAAAAGCGCTTTTTTGGAAAAATTACTGAGAGTGCTCATTTTAAATAATTTTTTTACAAAAGTACTCAATCGCGAGACTCCGGCAGTATTTTTGCAGCTCAACCGCGGGCGTTTAAAAATTTCGACCGTTTTTGAGAAAAATGCTCACTGACGCTAGTGTTTTACGACTTAATGTTTCACATGTTCACCCAATCCACTCAATGAGGTATTATAAAAAATTTTATTACAAATCAATTCAATCCGTTCATATTTTACCGTTTTACAGCCTATTTTTTTAACATGCTTGGTGTTAATATGGGTATCGAGTCATTTCTGCACATAACTGAATTGAAACCCATACTTTTAAAATATAAATTTTATTGACGATTTAATTCATTATTCATTTACAATATTTTTGTCTAATATAAATTGATTGTGTTAATTATAATTATTTTAGCTTTGAAACGAAGCTGAGAAAGTATTAATTTTACTATGATGTGTTTTTTTTGTGTTTGTTTTCACATTTTCTTAGCTCTCACCGAACCAATTTCATTCAACGATACGTCAAAAGATCACAAATCATATCTAGTTAAAGAGATTACCCTTAAAAATTGAAAAAATTTGCCTTGTTCCCCGTAAATGGGGGAAATCTGCAAAAAAATTACAAATTTAAAAATCATTAATTTTCGGAATTTTTTCAAATTAATTGCTTAAAACTACCATAACTTTTTCAAAAATGAACGTATCAATATAAATTTATTTTTATAGATATTTTATGTCTTTACCTATAATTTGGTGTATTTTTTTTTATAAATTTAACCCTTTACTAGCCCACAGGGGGGATTTAAAATAACATTTTTTTCACAAAAAATTACATTTTGAAAGTGTTCCGGAAATATTGACACATTTATATATATCTTAAATTAAAGCTTATATAATATACTTTAATATTAAAAAAAAAATTTCAGACTTTTTTTTGTCTTCGTGGTTAAAATAGCTACTGTATTCAAAAATATGTTATTTTTGTGTTAAAATTCTTGGTTTTGTATTTTATTATATTATAAGGAATATACACTGATTTTCATAAATATTATATCAATCTAATTGACATATTATAAAAAGTTAAACATATTTAAATTTTTTTGTTTCTTTGAAGTCGAGAAAAATTACTTAAAAATTTGAATTAGCTAAATTTCCATTTTTAATAAGTGACAAATGAGACGTACGGTTTCTGAGACGGTAACACTTGGGTCTTTTACGCCTGAAGCATTTCATTTTTACTTAACTCTTGAGTTAGGAAAAAATGGTTAACACATTTGATTTTTATCTCATTTAGATTCAATAACTCCAATAAATATCTAGGGGATCCTTGATATTTATTGAAGTTATTGAATCCCATTACCGTAGTCTCCTCTTGTGAGAAGAAATTCATATTAATATTATTTTCTCAGTTCTCACTTGACCTACTTTTTTGACAAATTTTAGCTTCGATGCGAAGCTGGAAGGTATTAATTTTACTATGATGTGTTTTTTTTTTTTATTTTGTGTCTGTGAACGTTCAATCTCAGCTCTCGCTGGACCGATTTTGATGAACAATATGTCAAAAGATCAAAAATCGTATTTAGTCGAAGAAATTACCCTCTAAAATTGAAAAAAATTTCTTCGTTCCCTGTAAACAGGAGAAATCCTCCAAAAACTTACAAATTTAAAAATCGCTAATTTTCAAAAATTTTTCAATTTTTTTTACTAAATACTATGGTAGTTTTTAAAGTTATGGTAACTTTTTTTAAAAATGATCGAATCAATATAATTTTTTTTTATAAATACCTTAGATATTTACTTATCATTTCATATATTTTTGTGAACATATGATCCTTTGACAGCCCACAGGAAGGCTTTCAAAATAGTAAATTTTTTACAAAAAATTAACTTCTTCAACTTAACTTTTGAAAATGTTTCGAAAAGACTGACACTTATATATATATATACATATATTAAATTAAAGCTTATGTAATATATGTTAATTTGAAAAAAAAAATTTGTCCTCTGGATTTGTCTTCATGGTAAAAATGATTACCGTATTCAAAAATATGCTATTTTTGTGTTAAAATTCTGGGTTTTGTATTTTATTTTATTTTAAAATACCTGACAAGGGGAGTACAGATTTTCATAAATATTATATAAATAAAAAATTAATATAGCATAGAAAGTTAAACTTATTTAAATTTGTTTGTTTCTTTTAAGTCGAGAAAAATAACTTTGAAATTTGAACTA